GGGGGGGGGGGAAGTAATAGTCTACATAATTTCGTATTACGATTCTGTATGCCAGGCACAATCTCCAAGCAGTGTGCATGAAAAGTACCTAGTAAAACAAATGACAAATAAGTATCATTGCATTTAGAACTAAATTACAGCTTCAGATTATTTATTGATGATAGGTAGAGAGCTTTGATGTTTTATTAATACAACTTAATACAATTAAGTACTTGGAACCAGGAGAAACACATTTTTGTACTTTTAAGTAAAATAAAACAGCATGGAAAATGTTAATGGGTATCAGACATTCTAAATATTAAAAATTGAAAATAGTTATACGTACAAGACATTTGCATGAGAGATCTACACTGTCAATAGAATTCTGTATACGGGTAGCTGCTTTGATTTCTGAACTGTATCATACGATTTAGTCTGATTTTAGCCTTCTTTTAGCTGTGAGCTACCTGCCAAGGTAGGAAAGCCTCCAACAACCTCAAGACTATTGCTGAGGTGAAAAGTTGATTACTTAAGTCCGCTTCTTGTGTAATAGCAGACAAAACTCTTGTTTACAAAAATAATGATGATGATGATTTAGCTATCATCTTACTTTTGTGGCCAAGGATAGCAAAACCTGCCTTCCTCAAAACCCTTACATAGATATTTAAACCTAGATGATAGTTGTAAACTGCATTTTGAATAAGGACTTTTAAAAAAAAACAAAAAACAAAATCTTCTAGGACCACACCTAATAGTTTTGTAACTAAAAGAAGCTTTAAAAAATGTTTAATTGACTCTTAACTTTATTTTTCTGCATAACAGAAGGGTTTTTTTTCTTTGTCTTTTAACAATTCTTTCAAGGGTGTTTTTGGTTGTGCTGCTTATTATGTTATTCAAGAAAGTTACTTTATTTTTAACACTACCTTATAAAAAAAAATCTTATTCTAGTCATTCACAGGCTCACCGAGCTTGGTTCTTTATTCTAGTGTCACACCAATGTTTACAGTAATGTTGTCATTTCAGGCGATACAAAATCCAAATGATATTCAACTTCAAGAAAAAGCATGGAATTCAGTATGCCCCCTGGTTGTGAGGCTAAAGAGGTTTTATGAGTTTTCACTCAGACTAGGTAAGCTTATATATTTGTTTTACTTCATTGTTTTTATATGCAAACATACAAAGATTATTTGAAAAGCTAACTGTAGAGTAATAAAATGTAGTGCCAATGATTTGCCTACAGTACCTGAATTTCTGTCTCTGAAGTCAATAGACTGTCTAGGTTACATGATCTGAACTTTTTCTGATTTAAAATCTTGAAAACAATCTACCCTGAAGCCATGTGCTAGCAGTGTGATTCCAGGCAGTCCTCAAATATATCTACTATCAGGACAGGTGAGTTCCTTGATTTAAGCAGTGGTCTCTAGAAAGAGCAGTGCCCCATGTAACTCATAGCACTTTGCAGAAAGCACTATGAGTTGCAACAATTCCCCAGACCCACCAACAGCTTGCTTTTGCGTCTGGGAGTTGGCGATTCAGTGTCACAAAAAAGCCGTTCCTCAGTGCATCTGCACAGTAAAGACTGCTCAGTCAGCGTCTTGTGCAGACACAGGCACTGAGAAGGGATTTAATAGTAGTCTTCACCTACCTGAAGGGTGGTTCCAAAGCGAATGGAGCTGTACTCTTCTCAGTGGTGGCAGATGACAGAATAAGGTGCAGTAGTCGCAAGTTGCAGCAAGGAAGGTTTAGATTAGATATTAGGAAAAAAATTTCAACAGGAAGGTAGTAAAGCACTAAATCTGGATACCCAGAGAGGTTATGGAATCTCCATCCTTTTAGCTTTTTAAGACCTGGATAGACAAAGCCTTGGCTGGGATGATATAGTTGGAGCCTGGCCTGTTTTGAGCAGGTGGTTGGACTAGATGACCTCCAGAGGTCCTTTCCAACCTTAATTTTCTATGATTCTATGAGTACCAGTGTCATGACACATCAAGACTGAATTTAGTTTTGTGCTAATGAAGAAGGTGTGATTAGTAAATTATTGTTTTTTACATATGCATTTAGAAAAAGCCCTGCAGAGCTTATTGGAGTCCTTGACCTGTCCACCCTATACCCCAACTCAGCACTTGGAGCGAGAGCAGGCTTTAGCTAAGGAATTTGCAGAAATCTTACATTTTACACTCCGTTTTGATGAACTGAAGGTTAGATGTATATTTTTTTAAATATTTTAAAATACATTGAGGTATTTTCTTAAAGTTTGAAATGCCGAAAACTGAGTTTCCTATTTTATTGCACAAAGATGAGAAACCCAGCAATTCAAAATGACTTCAGTTATTATAGGAGGACGATAAGTCGCAACAGAATAAACAATATGCATGTAAGTAAATGTAACTTAAATCTTTTTATTTAAATTCTGAAGTTCTTAATGTGCATTCCCACTACTTGCAGTAATATATTTTTGCGTTGATTTACAACCAGTAATTACTTTTTATGTGGGTAAGGTTATCATTATGTGATTCAGACCTGTAATTTGGTGACACTATTTTGTGAATAACTCCATACTGATATGAGCATGAACTTACTGTTTGTAGCTGCACATAGGTTTTGAAAGAAGGGCTATTTATTAACTATTTTTCCCTGTATTTTTATCAGCTAGATATTGAGAATGAAGTTAACAATGAAATGGCCAACAGAATGTCTCTATTTTATGCAGAAGCCACCCCAATGCTGAAAACACTCAGCAACGCAACAACCCATTTTGTATCGGAAGTAAGTGATAAGAATGTTTGCTATGTCCTTTTCTTTCTACATTTTAATTGTTTGTTAAATCAGTGTCTACAATGGACATCTTTATCCTTTCCAGAACAAAACCCTACCTATTGAAAATACAACTGACTGTTTAAGTACCATGGCTAGTGTATGCAAAGTCATGTTGGAAACACCGTAAGTAAAAATTAAATAATGTTATTTGTTTATGTTCAAATTCCTACTGTCATCTCTTTTAGTAGTTGCCTGGATAGTTTGTAAAATCTGATCATCAAATTAATCTTCCAGTTTACTGCGTTTTTTATGTATCCTGATTAGTATATAGGTATGTAGCAATACTAAATATATTAGTATATAGGTAGCTATGTTTTCTATGTTATCAATTTGATTAATTTTAAAAAGTCAACTGCACATTTTTGCTCTGCCTAAGCCTATGATACATCTACATTTAAAGCACAAATGTAGTATCAGTCAAGTATGTAGGCTTAAGAGTGACTTTTAACAAGTTTAGTTTTGCACATATTCTCAATGGCTTTGTAGAGAGCAGACTTATTTCTAGAGCATCCAAAATGAAGTATGAGTAAAAATCAGAATCTTTGATATTGCAAAGTAAATATTTCAGTCTAAGCTGTCATTTAATGGAGAACCAGTGGAAGGAATGTGTGCATTTTGTTTGTTTCTGCAAATGCTGGTAATTCATTTTATTCCTTGATTAGGAAATGTTGAAGTTCATTTTGAGGTACTGAGTTAATAGATGCCAGTAGCCTGCAATAACTGCTCAACTGTGATAGCAATATTGCTTCACTGCAGTTTCTTATAGATTTTAAATAGATGGGGGAGATGGAATGGCAAAACACTAAAATACTCATCTGTTGAGTGCTGTGACCACAGCTTATAAGACTGACAATCCTCTCTTACTTTCTACTTTTCACTCTGTGTCCACCTGCTATGTCTCACTCTAACACTACGCTCTTGAGGTTCCTTGAGTACTTTTTTCTTTTCTTATATTTATAAGTTTATGAGGAGATGGGACTTAATCCTTGGGTGCTACAGTAAAGCAAATTTAAGTTGTTAATAACTCCATTGATGAAGATAAGGCTATAACAATAACTGACTTCTTTGTAAGTACAGACCCCACTGTGTTTTAAAAGGACTAGATGTTAAAAAAATGTGTTGTCAAAACGAATCCCCATAATATTTCTACAAGACACTAAACTAGCATTTTATACGTAAATGGGGAAAGAAGCAGCAGATTTCTAATGCTGTTCAGACAGCTGACATCAAAGCTGAAAATTACACTTCTTAATTTGTATATTTATCTAACAAGATCACAAGGAAGGTGTATTCAACACACTGTACTGGAGTAATTTCTCCCCTCCGCCCTTTTACCTCAAATGCTTGTTTTTTAATTCCTGTAGAACAGCGATGGTCAACCCACGACTCCAGAGCCATATGCGGCTCTTCAAAAGTTAAAATATGTGTCTCTTTGAATCGTTGCATAAGCACCTGGTGACCAACTATTACGTCATGTCACGTGACGCGACTGCTCACAGCAAGTACATTACTCAGTTTGGACTTGGAAATTTGGACTCTGGAGCCGCAGGTTGGCCACACCTGCTGTAGAAGGGAATGTTGCATGACTATAAATATATGTAGATTGTATAGTCTTGTGCAATGAAGGAGGAGACTGTGGGCATGTTTACACATGCTGTTAAGGTGAAGCAATAAACTCTGGCATTTATCACACTGGAGTTTATTCCCCCTGGGTACTGCAGTTACATGTGCACCTGGGACTGCAGCATGTTAATCCGGGTTGAAGCAGCCCTGACTGTCAGGAAGCCCAAGGAGTGAGCCTGCCAGCCCAGGGCTGCTCCAACCCAGCTCAACAGGCTGTGGAAGGGCTGGCTGGGCCACGAGGGTGCTCCAGTGCAGGACTAACCAGCAGGCAGCCCCTCACTAAAGCACCTTCCTGCCCCAGCCAACCCCATTAGCATCTACATGTGTGCTGCTGTGTAGCTGATTAGTTTCCTGCAGCCTAATAGGGGTGCACATGTAGGCGCAAGAGGTTCCTGCAGAGCTAATTAGCCTACAGTAAACATGTCATGTAGACATGCCTATGTTGATTTTTTGGTGCAGTTGTACCTTAAATGAGGGGCCAGCAACTTTTTCAAACCCTGGGTTGAAACAACCCTGCATTAGGGCTAGGCAAGTGGAAGCTGCAAGCACATCATTGCTGTTTATCTCCATCCCCTGCTCCTTAGTGCAGCGTGTGCACAGCTTCCAGCCAGTGGAGAGCTGTTGACCCCTCTCTGAATGCATCTAAAGTTAAAGTATAGTTATTTCATACATCTTCGCACAGTCCTTTTAATTTTAATTCTTTTATGGCTTTTGTTGCAGTCTTTTCATCAGCCTGTGCTAGGGTGTCTTGGCATTATCTGTCTTGACAGATGGTATGAGGAGGAAGAGAAAAAAATATATTGGAGGGCAGTAAAGGGAAAAGTCCTTCTTCCCCTTCACTTTAGAAGCGTGACACAAAATGGTCCTTTTACTTACTCTGACATTCCGTGAGACCTTAAGCTATGGAAAATTATTGTCATCCTAGTAATTTATTTGATTAAAGTCCAACTCCAGATAAAATGTCAAGAATCAATATTTTTTTCTCATTGTTATTTTTTTTCGCATTTGCCTAGCTTCAGCTCTGTATCTTAAATTTTTAATGATATTAGTAAATAGTATGGGCAGGTAAGTTTGTCTCTGGGCAGACAGGTCTAAATTTTGAAGAGACTAGTTTTGGAGAGTCTATCTCAACACCATTTAGAGACCTCATTCCATGAAAGGCTGAGCAGCATCTCCATTTAGTTGATGAATACACAAAATATGACGCTTTCAAAATCAATTGTAACTTGTCAAAATTCAGATCTGTAGATTTGAGGAAAAAAATTGTACTGTTAAGGAAAACCTAAAATATTTTGCAGAATGGCTAATGGGTATGATAAATGCTCATTATAGAGGCGGCTATACAATTTCAGCAATCTCAATACTTTTACTTTTTGTGTGATTGCTGATCATTCTCCAGGGAGGGCATGCCTTACCCTTTGTTATTTGGTTTATTCTTAGATTGCAAGTTTATCCTGGGATCAAAGGGTAATCTGTTTTCTTGGTATACTTTCTTCTTTATCATTGATTTTGGTTGGAAGTGGATTTAGACTGTTTCAAATCACTTTGGAAAATATTGCCCTAAAACATTTATAGGGCAAGAAGATTTTAGAACATGCTTAACATATTTAAAATTTTAAAATTTATAAGAGAGCTGTGTGAACATCACAAATTCCAAATAAATGATCATAACCTGTTCTCAGTCATTCTATTTTACTGGAGTAATTAAATTAAAAAAAAAAACAGTATGGGAACACTGGGTAAGCAGAGGAGTTAAAGTAGTTTCTAATTTGTGGGGTTGTTTAAAAAATGAATTTTGGTGAATTTTGATTGCATTGTTAGTTGACTTAGTTTCAATGCAGAAGTAGTTGATGACAACAGAGGCGTTTATTTTGAACCTTTTAATATAGAAGTTCCTGGTGAAGAAAATAGTATTCATTGCTTTCTTAGGCTTGTTCCCGGCTTAATTCATTTCTTGCACTTGTTAATAATTTCAAGGAGGACAGCTGATAGCAGCAGTCTTTATTTGACCATCCACACATAGTAAGCTACCACTGAAAAGGTAAATCAAATCTTGTTTGAAGTGTCACCTTTTCAACACTAACAACTTAATCAAAGAGAAGATTTTCTTTTGCTTTCCATTGTTTCCATAGTAAGAATAGATAAAGAGCATTGTGTATCTTTTTATATTTCATCTTGTGCAGCAGCTGTCAGTAAAATGTGCAGCTTGATGGAAGAGATAATCTGACTTGTGAAAGGGTGTTGGAAGAAGGTGTACTGTGCCTTCAGTTGTTCTCTAATGTAGTCATTTTACATTATTAAGGTGATTAATTTAGTGATCACTACTGGTTTTGGTTTCTTCTAAGACATAACTTACACTTTTTAACCTGTATTCTACAATGTTTCGGAGGCGTTAACAGAGCACTTTGCATCATGACAAATGGCAGTACAGTAGTAGAGGTGGCACAACCAGCTTGCAGCTGTGACAGCTATTTTCATTTTCTCACCTTTTACCTTTCCCCTGTTGTTGCGCCCAACCCCAGTTGCACTGTTGCAATGCTTGGGTTTCCTTGCACACGTAAGGTACTATGAGAGCAAAAAAATTCAAATGAAACATGACAGATTTCTTCACTGAAGTGTCACTCAAGCTTTGAGTTTGTTTTTGTTGGTTTTTTTCCCCAGAGAATACAGAAGTAGGTTCACCAATGAGGAGACCCTGTTGTTCTGCATGAGAGTAATGGTGGGAGTTATTATTCTCTATGATCATGTCCATCCTGTGGGAGCTTTCTCCAAGACATCAAAGATTGATGTAAGAACAATTTTAAGGAGAAAAACTTATGTTTGATGTTTTGTCAGATTAGTGAATACTTGTTCATACTTTTCTTCAATAGAAGATCATCCTTTCATAGAAAGTAGAGTTTTGCTTCCATTGGCAACATTCAGAATTCCTTGTTGCCTGTATGCTTTTTTGTGTATTGGTTTGATCACTATTAAAATCAGCTCCTTCAATTTATAAATTTTACTTGATACAGGTCTTCCTTTGTTGTCTTCAAGCTCATTCTGTTACTCTGACAACTGTTTGTTATATTAAAAAAGTGTGGGCCATTTGCATTCTCACTAAGCAGAGACAAGAAATGGAGGTCAATATTTAAATATCTGCTGTACTAAAAATGTCAGTTACATTGCTATTAGAGATGCTTCTTTTTGTAAAAAAAAAAAAAAAAAAAAAA